AAAATTATTTATATTAATGATGTCTCCAAAGTTCAACGAAGTTTTCGCAGAAAAATAAGTTATTAGAAATCGGCCGCTGTTTGCTGAGCTGTTACGCGACGAAAACAAGCTTTAGCAATGGCGATGTCGAATGGTGCACACTCGGTAAGTAATCCTACAATTTTTTGTTTATAGCGTAGTTAATACGGATTATTCCCAAAAATAATATACATATTTTGGAAATGTTGAGTTGGATTAGTCTAGAATCGATTAATTTTATGGAAGAAAACCTTTCGACCAGCCGTAGTCCGTAAACTTCACACGTGTCAGGCTGTGATTGGAAGGACTCGTAAGAAATCGGATTCCTAAAGAATGGAACGTATCTATGATCTTATAGGGGGGTTGACTGTATATATATATATATATGTATGCTGTCAAGAGTTATCTACCCGAAATTATGGTATATATGTATCTTAAAATCACAATACATGTGGAAAGTAGTCCTATATAATATGTAATTGAGTAAATTTAATTACCATAACAAAAAAAACTAATTGCAACAGAATTTTTAATTTAACAACAAATAATCTTCAATAATTAATAGTAAATATGCAAATATTGTATTTTCTAAATAATGGTCAGTAATCATTTAAATTAGGTTTTAGTAGGTTTCAGAAGAAAAAAAGTTGCACACATTTTATAGATATGAGGGCCGTTCAATAAGTCCTTAGAAAAAGATAGAAAAACAAATTATTTTAGGTAGATTTTTTTTTATTTTTCAACATAAATCTCCTTTAAGCTCTATACACTTTTCCAAGTGTTTTTCCAACTTTTTTAAGCCATTTAAAAAGTAAGATTTCGGAAGGTCCTCAAAATAGGCATTTGTTTGGGCAATGACCATCTCATTTGATGTGAATCGTTGTCCACCAAGCCATTTTTTTAAATTTGGAAATAAAAAAAAGTCACTGGGGGCCAAATACGGTGGATGTGGTAATAATTCAAACTTTAATTCCGTGATTTTGGCCATCGAAACTGCACAGGTGTGCACCCGTGCATTGTCTTGATGGAAGAGGATCTTTTTCTTTTTCAAATGAGGACGTTTTTCCTTGATTTCTTCGCTCAACCGGTGCAATAATGATGCATAATACTCTCCAGTTATTGTTTTTCCTTTTTCCAAGTAATCGGTGTAGATGATTCCACGTGTATCCCAAAAAACCGTGGCCATCACCTTCCCGGCCGATTTCACTGTCTTCGCCTTCTTTGGAGCCCTTTCGCCTTCAAAAACCCACTGTTTTGACTGTTCTTTGGTCTCTGGAGTATAATAGTGTATCCATGTCTCGTCCACAGTTATGTATCGACGCAGAAACTCGTCAGGATTGCGACGAAAAAGTGCCAAAATTGCCTCAGAGTCGACCACACGATTACGTTTATTCTCCACTGAGAGCAAACGCGGCACCCATCTTGCCGAGATTTTTTTCACACTCAATTTTTCGTGCAAAATTGAAAACACTGTACCTTGTGATATGCCTGTGGCCTCAACTATTTCACGCACTTTGACTCGTCAATCACTCAAAACCATATCGTGGATTTTGTCAATCATTTCGGGAGTAGTCACTTCCACTGGACGTCCCGAACGATGTTCATCTTTTGTGGATGTACGACCACGTTTGAACTCATTTACCCAATTGTAAACAGTTGCAAACACAGGAGCAGATGTGCCATGAACTTCATCCAACTCAGCTTTGATCTCTTTTGGTGTTAAGCCTTTTAAATATAATCACCGCTTGAAACTCACTTTTTTCCATTTTTCTAAATAAACAAAAGTTTCTTGCTTCAATTGACAATAAAAATTAAACCATATGATGGATATGACTGAGATTTTCACAACTGTCTAGTGAGACATCATGCTTACAAAAAATGCGCCATTTTTGAGGCTACGAGCGCCATCTATTGGATTTTCTAAGGACTTATTGAACGACCCTCGTACCATAAACGTTTCAATCCTTCTAAATAATTTTTTTTTAAATTTCTACTATAATTAAAACTACTACTAACATTATAAAAAAAAAAAACACACTTCTATATTTTGTTCTTTACATTTGACTTTTGATTACTCATCTCTGATAATTCATGTTCATTTTATGACTGCTTTATTAATTTTCATGAAATCTGGCTTACAAGTATTTACATCCTATAAAATTCTATATTAATATGCTGTTTAAAACTGTTACACACTGTTCAATTCCAGAACTTGCATTTTCTTCATTAATAAAACTTAATTATGTATTTTCAATAGTATGTGAATAATCTTAAGGAAATCAAAGTGTATTATTACATAGCTGAAATGTTTTCACAATATAATATTTGTATAACAATATGTTAACAACATCTTAATTAAATTTTTCTGTTATGATCTAATGCTTTCACTTTAGGGTATACATAATGTTCAATTAAATTCTCTTTTCAAAAAATTAATTCTGGATAATGTAACAATAAAATGCAGGATAAAAACATTGTTAAAAATATACATAAATTGAAGACAAACACAAAATAATTTGGTGTTTTCTTAGTATATCTCTTACTTATACTATGGACAATTCATTTTTTCCCCTACTTACCAAATTGTTCACAAGACTCAAGGCACCATAGTATAAATTTATAAAAATATGAAAAACTCAAAATTTTACTCAACGCTGGAAAAACAAACAATCTTTCATCAATGCTAATGATAAACAATTTGTATTGAGTAAAGCAATGAGTACATTTTGTCTGCTATACATATCATCCAACTATTACACTGACTGTTCTCAAATACCATCACAATTCATATGTCAATACCAAATAGAAATACAGTAGAGCGTCGTTTATCCGAATCAATTGGGGACTGGGGTTGTTCGGATAACTTATTTTTTGGATAACCAATTATGTACGAAAAAATATATTAATTTATCCTGTGTTGAAATTTTTCTCCGTTGCGTGTCGCTTTGCATTGAATTTTCGTCGATGTTAAGCCTAACAAAGACTATTGTATTGTTAAAAATTATTTTTTTATTTTGTACAAACAAAATAAATATATTGAAAAATATAAAAACAATAAAAAATTATGCTTCAGAAGTTAATTTAGTATCAAAAACGTAAAATATTTGAGTAGCCAAAGACATAGCCAAAGATTACAGCGCCACAGCACTGGCGAAAATTTAAATTTGTCGACTGGAATTCTTTCGGATAACCGACCTTCAGATAAATGATGCTCTACTATACTCACAAAAAGAATAGAGAGCTTGAATATACTATAAATATACAGTGTGCTCAAATTTTAAGAATTTGTGCAAATTTGAGTTTCAGAACATCACTTTCTTTTGGAAGAAAATATGATTATACTTACATGGCTAAAGTAAATTGTTAAACTGGTGATTTAAAAATAATTACAAATTCTCAGATTAGAAGTAAAAACCATTAACCTATCTTCTTTGAAGATAACATTGATACAATTATGTGATCCAATATTTTCTAATGAACTTATTAAAAACCAAATATTTTTTACATTTAGAAAAAAATTTACGTAAAATAGTATAATATTCTCCTAATTATTCTTTATGTATTATAACTATTTTGACACATTGAACAATAGATTAATAAATCTATCTTTCTACACTTTTCTGGCTATCACTCTGCTTATTGAAGCTTTAAAAAATTATGTTATGCATCCAGTTAGTGATAAAATCAATCAGTAAATACAAACTGTTAAGTATTTTGAATTGCAGTAATAGTAAATTTCCAAGCTCTTCAAATTATCAATACATTTATATTGATAATTTGAAGAGCTTGGAAATTAACAGTGAAATTATTATAAAATTCTATTAAAACTCAAAATATTTGACAATTAATACAGTACATTTGTTTTTGCTTTTAAACAGTTTAACAGAAAATTCTGCCAGTACATCCAAAACATTTGTTCATACTGCTAAAAAATATAATTTCTAATATCAACTTGATTTAGATAGTAAATTAACCAAGTAGCAATTATTATATTGATTGTTTGCCATATCTATCTACCATATCAGATCCTTCTATTTGCAACCATTTGCAAAGTGATCCAATTGAATGTAAGTACTTGCAGTCAAATTTCAAAAAAATTAAAAAAGTAACAATTCATTCCATTATAAAATTGTTAAGATATAATTTTTCTCCAAATTTTATTTTTAATTTGAAAATTTAATCTTTTGTTTATTTGAAAAGATTTATAAACTAAAATCTGTCAAATGAGAAATTTTTTCACAAAATACTTTTTTTTATTATTAATGCATTAAGTTATTAGTTTGTAAGTGAATAATAGTAATAACGCTACTCACAAAGGACGTGGTGGATCAGATGCTAATAATGTTCCATCATTTTGTACAAGACCATCTTCATCATCATCTTCAGAATCTGAACCAATATTTACACCTAAAGGACCCTGTTCTGGAGTGGTACCATTTATTTTTGAAGTTTCAGATGCACATGATGTTGGAATTTTTCCATTTCCAACAATCATGCGATTTGCTGGACTTCCACCTCCACCACTGCTACTAGCTGCTAATTCATTTAATTGTGCAGCTAAAACTTCAAGATCCTAAAATATAAATAGATTAAAATCATGAATTAATATCTGTTATATGCAAAAGCTACTTAGTTTTGAATATAAACATTTGTTCTATTCTAAATCATTTACTAGATGACTAATGCTCTAAAAATTTAAATTTAACCTGAATAAAAATTTCAAAAATAGATTTTTTTTATCATGTATTTTGTAGATTGTTAATATTATTGTTAATTTAAGTAACAATAAAACAGAAAAATTAAACTTAAATACTTTTTATAATTTTTGAAAGTATTTTTTAACAATTTGTATTGAATTTTGATGTTTTTTTTTTAATAAAGTACACTGAATATATAAGATTCTGCATTGGAGATCAGCAAGAAAATTAAGTAAGTAAAAAAAAAGGAAATGTAAATAAATTACTGTTATTTAATTAAATCTGTAATAAAGTAATGTAATCAGTTAAAATTGAATTTTAATCATGTTTTCCTTACTTCAGGCCTACGAATTTGAGGTTTATATAGTCCAGAATTTCGACTTTTCTGAGGTACGGCTTGTTGTTGATGATTTCTAGGAGGAGTAGCTGGTCTTGTTTCTTTTTTCTCATCTTCTACAGGAATAGGAGGAAGTGGTTTACTGGGTGGGGGAGGATCAGGAACAACTATAAAATAATAATGCAAAATTTAAATGTAATGCATAAATAAAAATAAAATTAGTGTTTTTATAGTAAATTATTATATAAAGATTTTTTTTTCAAAATAATACCAATTAATCTTTGTGGCACAGGATGCCTGTGGGGTGGTGCTGGAGTTTCTACTTGGACAGAAGGTTGTTGAAAACTGCTTGAACTAGGTCGCGCATCGTTGGATGTTAACGTACGGCCTTCTTGTAGCTGTTGAAAATTCCGCCGTAATGTAGAATCACGTTGAAGAGGTTCAATAGAACTAAAAGCAGAAATTTTTATTAATTAACAATTAAGTACATCTTAAAACTACTATTAAGTAATTTCTAAATTATCTCCAAATATTGTAATATTTACAAAGATAAATGAGTAAGAATCTATTATTAATCTATCTATAATGTTAGCATATACCAGATCAAGAAATTACTGACATTAAAAAAGTAACATTATTAGATCCATAAAAATTTTATGAGAATGTGTTCCAAATAAACAGGGATAGATTTGTTCCAAATAAACAGGGATAGATTTAAAAAGAAAAAAAAATGAGATTGAAATGGTGTGGCATGACAAATACTAAACTGTATATAAAAACAAAAGTATAAACTACAAAATGATCCAGAATTAAACAATGTTTTTACTATTTTCTTATACTTATCATAATATGATTCATAAAAGCATGAAAAAATTAGGAAATAATAATATCTATTTATAGAGAGAAAATCTATAATAATCTTGCAGTGCAACAAAAACTTTTCAATCTAATTGAAAGGATGACACAAAATAATAGAAAAATGGAGCAAGATTATTATTTTATAGTTATATTTATGGTAAAAAAATGAGAAGAGCATTCATAAAGTTCAAAGAGAAGCAATTAAGTATCATAGCAATTAAAATAAATTAGAAGAACTACACAACACAGGAAGTAAGCAAATTCTATCCAGATGTTTGAAAATCTTATCAAATAACATTAAAAATAAAAAAATGAGAGTATTTTAAAAAACAAATAAAATTTAGCAGCTAACAAAAATCTTAAATGAGGAAAGAAAACTAGACAATTAAAAAGAATATAAAATAGGAAAATGTGGAATTAATTCATGTATTCAAAGAAAAATGGTAAAACAATAAGAAGGGACTAAGTTAACCCACAACCACATGTAATAGTGATTTTTTTGTGCTTACTAGTTTTTCATGGGCATTTCCAAGATATCCTCATGCTATATGCTATACATCTAACTGCATCAAAATTTCAATTAAAAAAAATTTTTTTCCCACTTATCATAAGCCCTCAAAAACTACTGCAAAAATTTGCCGCCTTAAGAATTTAATTGTATACAATTTTTTTCATACAATTACATGCATATGTGATTTTCTGCTTTGATGTCATTTTTGAAGAAATTACAGCATTAAAAATAATATCATGAAAGTCTCTCATGATTGCTGCAAGAGGAAGTCATGACATCATGGTGTTTGTCAGCTTTACCTGATGTAATGTCATTGCATCTTCTAGTTAGTATAACCCTGAACACTTGTTTGATATTCTGGGTGCTATGGCCTTCAACAATTTAAATTTTTTTATTGCTTTATTTTCTTCCTGAAAAATAATTTTCTGATTCTTTTAAGAAACACCACCCATTATTTCCAGCTGAACTTATTTCACATGAGCCTGCATTATCACAAAGTTTCAATGGCTCCCATCAGGAACTCTCAAAAGTTATATGATCACATTTAAAAATTGTGATACAGTAGAACCTCGAAAACTCGGCTCTCGATAACCCGGCACTCCGGATAACTCGGCCACACCCTGGCAGGGCAAAAAAATCCTTAGTTAATTAATTTTCATTATAGACAGCTTTATAAAAGTATAAAAGCTCTCATAAAGTATTTTTCTGAGGTCTGTCNGTTAATATTATTGTTAATTTAAGTAACAATAAAACAGAAAAATTAAACTTAAATACTTTTTATAATTTTTGAAAGTATTTTTTAACAATTTGTATTGAATTTTGATGTTTTTTTTTTAATAAAGTACACTGAATATATAAGATTCTGCATTGGAGATCAGCAAGAAAATTAAGTAAGTAAAAAAAAAGGAAATGTAAATAAATTACTGTTATTTAATTAAATCTGTAATAAAGTAATGTAATCAGTTAAAATTGAATTTTAATCATGTTTTCCTTACTTCAGGCCTACGAATTTGAGGTTTATATAGTCCAGAATTTCGACTTTTCTGAGGTACGGCTTGTTGTTGATGATTTCTAGGAGGAGTAGCTGGTCTTGTTTCTTTTTTCTCATCTTCTACAGGAATAGGAGGAAGTGGTTTACTGGGTGGGGGAGGATCAGGAACAACTATAAAATAATAATGCAAAATTTAAATGTAATGCATAAATAAAAATAAAATTAGTGTTTTTTCTTTTTTCTCATCTTCTACAGGAATAGGAGGAAGTGGTTTACTGGGTGGGGGAGGATCAGGAACAACATTAAAATAATAATGCAAAATTTGTTTATATTTACACATTTTAGTAGAATTTTGCTATTAAAATAATTCCATTAATGCTTCACTCTATGGGAAATTTTAGTAAGTGGTACCGTTTTATAATAAAAACACTTATCCATAATGGATTGTTACTGTAGTAATTAGTTCTTAATATATTTATAAATTAAACAATATTTTCTTATATATATAAAATGGAGACATTAATGAAAGTAAACATTAAGTTAATCATAGAAAATTTTCTATATCTGGTTAATGGGCGAAGGATATGAATCATGGAAGCGAATTCAATCGATAACCTACACTTGTCTACAACCATAGATTACACGAGTATCAAAGGATATAAATAGGTTATCGAAGGAATAACAAAGCTATACACTCGGATAGTTTTCAGATTAATTATTTCCAATTCATTCAAATGAAATCTCCCAACGTGTTAGCGACTAATAACATTAACAGTCGCGATTGATTGCTATTTCTTTACAAATTATTCTTTCCAATTTCTAATTCGCATCCACAATAACTCTATTAAATATTAAAATTATCATTTTAATTAATTAATTAATTAATCTTCTATACAATATACAATTTAGGGAGGTGTTATAAGTTGAAATTCAATGGCGAATTCCATTGTAATGTCTTTACAATTTTGAGAATTATTTTAAAAAAAAAATTACAGTAAAACCTGTCTAAAACGGAACCTGTTCCAAATGGAAACTTGCTTAAACGGAAACGATATTTTATGTTTAAAAAAAATAACCTGTTTATAACGTGTTTTTTAAACATTTTCCGGCTTACACAGGTTTTACTGTACAAGTCGACCCCCCTATAACACTGTTGATTATTCCGTTTTATATGAATTCCATGTTGTACGAGTCACTTAGATTTTACAAATACGTGTGCTGGGCTGTGAACGGCTCACGTATTTGTAAAATCTAAGTGACTCGTACAACATGGAATTCGTATAAAATGGAAAAACAACCAGTGTTATAGGGGGGTCGACTTGTACAGAGTGTAACCGTATGAAGATGTTTTCGGGAGCATAATTTATATTTTAATCCCCAAAAGAAAGCTTTAATAAGAAACAGTGATTTGTCTTAATGCAGATTTCTTTACAGTCATTGGGGATCGTCTATTTACATTGTCTTTAATTCACGTGAATCATGTACAAGTCGACCCCCTATAACACTGTTGATTATTCCGTTTTATATGAATTCCATGTTGTACGAGTCACTTAGATTTTACAAATACGTGTGCTGGGCACTGNCATTATAGACAGCTTTATAAAAGTATAAAAGCTCTCATAAAGTATTTTTCTGAGGTCTGTCTTATCAGGTAAATTACTGTACACAGTGTATTCATTAATTTTCATTTTCATGTAGTAAAGGCTCTATGCCTTCATAAAGAACGTACTTTTCCTTTGTTTAAGGGTATTTGGGCAGTTTATTCTCTGTTATATTCTCAAGTAAACAATACATACAAGTACAGTACAGTATTTTCTGAGGAAACACTCGTACTTATTTTTTTAACCCCATTCCCGATAACCCAACATTTTCACAAACTCAGCCACCCTTCGGTCCACATTAGGCCGAGTTTTCGAGGTTCTACTGTATTACTTTAAAATTAGATAAATAAAACTACAGTATTTGTTTCAGAAAACTTTTCAATGTAATAAATTTTATTGTGTGCACACTATTCTATTTCAAACAAAACATTTACAAAATATAAATTTTATTACTTATTATGAATATTTTTCAATAATTTGTTTTCTAAAATTTTTTAAAATATCTATTTTTAAATTTTATATCTTATAAATGTACAGATATATGATTTTTTTAATTTTATAAAATTAAATCTACATTATTTTAAAAATTAATGTTATATAAATGAATTACCTAGGTTCACCAGCTAAACCACCATCATCTTCTTCTTCACCTTCACTTCCAGGATAATGAAATTCCTCTTGAACATCACCTAAAACCAACAAAAGCTTGATATCCTTACAATTGTTACATTATATTTAAAGACAAACAGCTCATAGTAGAGGGTTGGCAACCAAGTGATTGCGGATTTTGTCAATAGGTGGCCTTAGCACATTTTTCTGCTTTGTCATTGTGTTCAAAGCATTTAACCTATATTGTTTTCTTGTTGTTTGTACTTCCACCTTTAATTTAGTAAAAAAATTGTATCGATTAGTTATTTAGTTTCGTTTTTATCCCAATTTAAAAATGGAAGAACAAGATGTGCATTTCAGACATATTTTATTGTATTATTTCCAAAAAGGCAAGAACGCATCACAAGCACACAAGAAGTTATGTGCCGTATATGGGAATGAATCCTTGAAAGAAAGGCAGTGTCAAAATTGGCTTGCCAAATTTCGTTCTGGTGATTTTTCACTGAAAAATGCTCAACAATCTGGCCGTCCAGTTGAAATTGATGAGACCCATATCAAGGCCATTATCGATTCAGATCGTCATAGCACAACACGTGAGATTGCACAGAAGCTCAATGTATCACATACATGCATTCAAAAAAAAAAATTAAAACAGCTTGGCTATGTCAAGAAACTGGATTTATGCATCCCTCATCAACTTAAGGAAATTCATTTGATGCAATGTATTAGCATCTGTGATTCACTTCTGAAACGCAATGAGATTGATCCATTTCTGAAATGACTGATTACTGGCGACGAAAAGTGGATAATTTATAGCAGTGGTTCCCAACCTTTTTTCATTAGCGTACCCCGTGACATGTCATATCTCTAGATTGTACCCCTCATTTAAGAAATTTAGTGAGTACCCGTATTGTTAATTTTACATATTGTAACTTTAAATTAAAGAAAAAAAAGCTTAATGAAAAAACATATAATAAAGTTGTGATTGTTGCAAGGAACATTTTTTACCTAATAATTTTTAATACTATTAGTTTGTGATACATAATATATTTTTTCTGCCATAATAACTAACTTTTTTCTGTACCACTAAACAACCTATCGCGTACCCCTAGGGGTACGCGTACCACAGGCTGGGAATCGCTGATTTATAGCAACGTTAATCAGAAAAGATCGTGGGTGATGCGAGATGAACCAGCCCAGATGACACCAAAAGCTGAGATTCACCAAAAAAAGATTATGCTGTTAGTTTGGTGAGATTATAAAGGAATTCTGTACTTTGAACTTTTACCAAGAAACCAAATGATTAATTCAAATGTGTATGTTCAACAACTCGCCAAACTAAGCGATGCAGTTCAAGAAAAGCAGTCAGAATTGGCAAATTGTAAGGGTGTTGTTTTCCAGCATGATAATGCAAAGTCCCACACATCTTTGGTCACTCGCCAAAAATTATTGGAGCTAGGTTGGGATGTGTTGTCACATCCACCATATAGCCCTGACCTTGCGCCTTCAGATTACCATTTATTTCGTTCCATGCAGAACTCCTTAAATGGTAAAATTTTTAATGATGCTGATGATGTAAAAACACATTTAATTCAGTTTTTTGCTGGCAAAAATCAGAAGTTTTATGAACATGGAATTATGACACTGCCTGAAAGATGGCAAGAGGTCATTGACAAAAATGGACAATACCTAATTGAATAAAGTTATATTTTTAAGCAAAAATTTTGAATTTTCCTTCTTATTTAAAATC